GGCCTCTAATGTGAACAATCTGACCAAGTGCTGAGTCTTGGGGAGATCTATTTGAGAAATGGTCAGATAAGAAACCAGGAATGGATATTTGAAGTACAACAGTAACCAAGATAATTACTTAGGGAAAAGCAATTAGCTCTGATTGCAGCAAGAGATGATTTGCACATGCTTGTATCTTGTATCCATAAATACTGAGAATGTATTGAGCTTTTCAAGACAGTTGGGTGGTGACTGCTGACTATGTATATGCAACCTGGTTGCAGAAATTAACTACCTTGTCCAGCTTCTGCCTCTCATTTCATTGACCGTGAGTAAAAGCAGACAGATTTACTGGGTCATCAAAGTCATGATGCATTTTTGTATAGAAAAGTACATCATTACTTTCCCAATGACTTAATCGTTTGCCCACACTACCACTAGATGAAGAAATAGGGCATTTTCACCCTTCCAGGAGATACCTACATGTCCCCTTCCAATTATTATTCTCTCTTGCCCAAGTCTGACCATTGTTCTGAGATCTACCACAGTAGAGGAGTTTATAGAAATGGAATATGGCAGGACCAGCAGATGGTATAATGGTTATCTCACCAGACTCCCACCTAATCAACTATAGTTCAAGTCCTGGACCTGGTAGCTTAAAACTCATGCTGGGCACATGTGCGTGCATGCCCAAAATCCCAAGAGGAGAATGGAGGAGAAGGGGTTATGGCATGGCTACTCCCCTTGGGGGTGAGTTCTCGCTTTCTGTCTCTCTGGTGAGCACACATGCCCTATAGCAAAAATCTTTCTTTAAAAAAAAATGGAATATGGTATATACTTATATCTGGTTTCTTTTGCCTACCATTATGTCTACGAGATTCATCCATTATTGTTACAGATGGCAGTTCTTTGTTTTCATTGCTGTTTTGTACCTCATTACACAAATATATCACAATTTATCTCACCATTGATAACCATTTGGAATATTTTCAGTTTGTGATTATTATAAGCAATGCTGTTATAGTCTTGTCTATATCTTTTGGTGGGCGTATGTACACATTTCTTTTGGGTATATTCCTGGGTGTGGAGTCACTGGCTTGTAGGACATGCTTTAGCAGATGCTTCTAAGCAGATTTTAAAAATGGTTATGAGGAAAGGATTCTTAATGTCATTTAACAAATGAGGAAATGGAGGTTTGAAGACCTAAAATAAATTTCCCAGTGCCACAGCTAGTAAGTGGAAGAGCTGAGAACCAATCCTACTTCTTCCCTTCATGTTCTACTGAGGATCTTGTGAGAATATCTCACAGAAGAAGGAAGCAGAAGTATGAAGGCAGCAAACGCCCACGTTTCAACCTTTTGGAGAAAACTGATGACTTGCTTTGGAATTTTCTTCAAAATATTTTTGTATACATAACCTTTAAAAAGTCTTGGAGATAGGTACAGTAAAAATGGTGAATCTCAGGCCACCAAGTGGCAAGGAGACTAAGGCAGTGGATCCCACATGGCTGACTGTGCAGTTTGAGTCCTGGACCCGGTGATTTGAAAAAGATGCAGGGCGCGTGTGGGTGCATGCCCAGAATCCTGAGAGGAAAACAGAGAAAGATTTATGGTGTGGCTATCCCCCTAAAGGGTGCTTTCTCACTTTCCCTGTCTCTCTGTCTTTCTCTGACAAGTGCACACTCTCTATAGCAAAAGCTTAGAAAAAATAAAAAGAAAAGAAAGAGAAAGAAAGAAGAAAGAAAAAGAAAGAAAGAAAGAAAGAAAGAAAGAAAGAAAGAAAGAAAGAAAGAAAGAAAGAAAGAAAGAAAGAAAGAAAGGAACAAGGAAGGAAGGAAGGAAGGAAGAAAGAAACAAGGAAGGAAGGAAGGAAGGAAGGAAGAAACAAGGAAGGAAGGAAGGAAGGAAGGAAGAAAGAAAGAATTTCTCATTTGAGAAACAAAGAAAATAAGGCTGTGGGAGTTCGTAATTGCTGAATGGTTGAGACTTCTGTCTCTTCAGGGTAAATTCAGCCAGTGTACCTCTCAGTGGAGGCCAGAGGCTTTGGCTCTGGGACTCAAATCCTTTTGTATTTGAGGCTTACCCTGTAAGAAGGTTGAAACCTCTGAGGACAGTGACTCTCTTGTATTTGGATCCCAGATAAAGTGGGGCTAGAGTGTCTACCGCTTTCTGTCTAGCAATATTTTACATCAGCCCACACCAACGCAGTAATTCTACATTTTGAGCCCTACAAAGGGGTATCTTGGAACCACTGACCAAAATGTACCACTTGGAAGAATGTTGCCAGATAGCCTTATGAATTTAGAACATCTCCCATCAAAAATTGGCAGGCCTACTCACACCTGCAAGACTGGCATAAGTTTCTCCTTCCTCTACCAATGGGCTATTTCCCCATGAGCTTTCTAAAAGCCTTTGGCCTCTGCAACATCTAAAAATGAGCAAATATAAGTGCTCCTTGAGAAGACTTTTGCTAAAAATATTCAGTGTAATTAAAACATGGCATTTGAATTAACTAAATCTCTGCTCCCTTGCCCCTCCCCTTTGCCCTGGGAACCTGCTTATTTTCATTCTGGAGTTGTTATCTGTTGGCTTCAGTCAGCTTTCCAGTGACCTTTGAATAGGGCATAAGGGATTCAGGATTCCCTATTTATTGGGGCATTTCAGTTATTCCTCCATAGCTATTCTCTGAAGGTGGCAAAAAATCAATGCCCTCTCCAGGACAGGCAGCAGAAAACCATCCCAGGATGAAGCTGAATTCTGAAATAGCCAGGACAATTGGAACAATAATCAGGCTTGACGAAGAAACTCTTGGAAGGATCCCTCAGTGAGCTTGCGCATCTGGAGGAGAGGGAGCAGATGGCTTCCTCGCCTGGCTAGGCGTTTGCTCAGCCTTTTTATCTTTGGGAATCATAAAGAAGCTGCAACTTATTGCAGGGGTTTCTAAAGAAATTAGAGTAACCTCTCATAGGAAGGTGGAGCATAAAGCTCTGTAATATCCAAAAGGACGGCTTTCATTAGTAGTTTGTTATGAGGGCCGGAACTGTATTCTGTGGTTTCCAGGGATTAGGGGGGTGGGGAGGCTGAGCAGCTGCTGGTCATGATGGATCTGTATAAAAGGAAAGAAAGCAGTAAGAGGTTTAGTTTATCTGAGGGCTGGATGCCCAGTGCAATTCTGCCACGGCACACCCCGGGGAAGGTGAAGTCATTGTCCCCTGAAAGGCCCAAACAGGGCATGCTGGAGCTGAGAACAGACATCCCTGAAAGGACCAGCTCTCACTGTGGGGCCGTTAAAGGCAAAGGCAGCACCGCAGCTAGTGAGATGTCGTCTTTCCTTTCACAGCAGTGTACACCGCTAGAGTCTAGGGTTAGTAATGGGAGAAGGAACCCCAAGAGGGGAATCTTGGACTTCTTGCTAACTGACACATGGCGATAGAAGAAATGGGACTTGGTATCATAAATCTGGGGCACTGCTTGCACTGACTACAGGTGAGTGTTTACAATGCTGGGAGTATTATCCTTTTCCCTAGTAAGTACCACAGAATTTACTCTGAAAATTCTGAAGTTCGTCTTCAGGCCCCAAAAGACTAATTTGCTTGCAACTTGATCAGCTCTCTAAGCTCAAAACATAGCGTGTCAGGGACCAGCAGTTAGCGTAATGGCTATGTCGCTGGACTCCCATGTAGTCGACCACGGTTCGAGTCCCGGACCCGGTGGCTTAAACTCATGCCGGGCGCGTGTCCATGCATGCCCAGGATCCTGAGAGGAGAACAGAGGAGAAGGGATTGCAGCATGGCCATTCCCCCCAGGGCGTGATTTCTCGCTTTCTGTCTCCCTGTCTCTCTCTGTCTTTCTGGCAAGCACCCACGACCTATAGCAAAAAAAAAAAAAAAAAAAAAAACAAACAGACAAAAAAAAAAACTCCAAAAAAAAAAAAAAAGATGTGTCACATGTGTTGTAGAAGATGAAAATCTAGGTAGGCTGACCATTTGGGCATCAGATGATTCTGATAAAAGACCTAGTGATTTTACAAACTTTCAAAGATCACTGGGAACCTGCTGATTTGAAAGGAATGCAAAGAAAACTCAACTTTCCACCTTTTCCTTCCACTGGAGAAATTACTCTAAAGTCTTGCTTTTCTGAGTACCTTTTAGCAGCACCAGCATCACCTGAGAGTTTGTTAGAACTTCAGCTCTTGGGACCAGCAGATGGCATAATGGTTACGACACTGGACACCCATGTAGTCGACAGCAGTTCATGGGGGTGGGGGGGAATGGCAGCAGGTGGCATGGTGGTTGAGGGCTCTGGACTACCATATGGCTGACCATGGTTCAAGTCCCACACCTGGTGGCTTGCTTTCTCACTTTCCCTCTCTCCCTTGCTCTGTCTCTCTCTGGTCAAATTAAAATAAATAAAGTTGAATAAAATAATTATTTAAAGAAAAAACAAAAACAAAAACTCACACCGGGCATGTGTGCATGAGTAACCAAGATCCCAAGAGGAGAATGGAGGAGAAGGGAATGAGGCACGGCCATACTTCCTGGAAGGATGATTTCTCACTTTCTGCCTGTCTCTCTCTCTCTCTCTCTCTCTCTCTCGTGAGTGCACGCACCCTATAGCAAAAATCTCTCAAAAAAAGTTTACAGATTTCAAGTCCCAACTTCAAATCTATGCTTTCCTAAGATCTTCATGTTAATTCTGTGCACACTGGAATTGCTCTAGACAAAGCAATAGGCATGCCTGAAGGTGCTGCCAGGTTGCACAGGGTCCCCAGTCCTAGACCCAAGGAGGTCCCCTGAGACATATTTCCCCTGATATGGAAAGACTGGCATTTCACCTGTACCAGAGAGAACGGCAGCTCTTCCTGCATGGAAGGTAAGTCAAGAGAGAAGAAATAACTCCCAGAGCCCACCATCGCCCATCTGTGAAATAGCAGATTCTGTAGGGCTGCTCACAGGCTAGCAGAAAGCCTTAACAGCCGAGACTGTGGTGGCACCGACTTTGTCACCACCCAGGTTTGCTCACTTGGTCTGGAGTGGTAGGCCCACTCTCGGCAGTCCCCGGAGTCGTCCAGTGCCTGTGCGTGCTTTCTCTTCTTGGTTGGAGGCAATGAGGCTCTAAAACCACAAACCAAAATGAAGGTTAGGATTATTCTTCAATCTCAAAGTTGCTTTTCATCAAATCTTTCCCAGGTCTCCGCACACTGCTCTCCTAAGTCTCATTCTAATCAGCTAAGGTTCCTTGAACCCTACATGTCAGAAACATAGGTTTCCTTTATCCAGTGTGTCTGAGATTCATCTAAAAAACTGACCTTTTCAAAGGAAAGTCTCACTGAGGCAGAGAAAATAGACTTAAAATATAGATGTACATTTTGCACCTAAGAATTCTTTTACACATGGAGTTTTACCACAATTTCTGACTTTTATTCTTCCTGCTACTTTCTAGATTAAGGAGGAATAAAAAGGAGGAAAGGAAGAGAGGAAGGAAGAAAGAAGAATATTAGTTAATGCTTAATTGACAGATTTTTCCCAGCGCTCATTCACCCATTCCCTCGAGTAGTCTAGCTCAGGCTGCGCACGCAAACAGTCCTCCGTGCATTACCCAGAATTCCCCTGTACACTTCTGACATTTTTAGCTTTTTGCTGAATGAGGACCTTAGGCTCAGTAGGTTTTTAATTAAAAGGTTGTCTAAGCCAAGAACACTGGGGCCTTGCAATGTCCTGTTTCTGTGTGTCTCAACACTGCCACCTCCTGGGCGGGATTCCGCCGTCCTTCCACGTCAGTGCCGGGGGTGGGGAGGGAGCAGGCTGCTCCGAGGCTCTCCGCGGAGCTTTCGCAGAACTACACGTCTTGCTCCGTACCTGTGGCTGTGGCACAGAGGCTGCTGGGGGTTAGAACAGCTCCCCAGATGGGAGAACACAGATTGGTGCAGCGGGGCGGCGGGATGACTGGTGTTCGGATAGCAGTTGTGAAAGCTGCTCTGGGTTTGGCCGGAGTTGCTCTTTCCCAGAGTGCTCAGGGGTGGGTGTGCAGGCAACATCCCGGGAACAGCTGCGGGGTGGAGAAGAGTGGCCAGAGTCCTCCCAGCTGTGGGCCTCGGGGTCCGGCAGCATGCACCTGCGGGAAGGCAAGAGCAGGACGTGCCTCTTTGTCACCACCCAGTGTCTAGGAAGAGTAAGGGCAAGGTTTGCAGAAGGGGACCACCACACTCACCTTTGATCTGTGGAGGAGAGCATGGGTCTGATGCAGAATAGGGTGGGGTATCTGGGAGCTGGCGTTGCCTGAGGAGTAGAGACATGCATTTCTCTTTTGTTTCACTCTATTCTGTATTTTTGTCACAAGAGACAGCCCTCAGTGTACAGTGCCCACAGTGACAGTTGCAGAGTGAGGGCTCAGCCATGCCCAGTAACAGGACATGGTTAAGTGAGCGGACTTTGAACCCCAGCTTGTCCATTTCCTAGCTGTGTATCTGTAAGCAAGTACTTAACCCCTCCGAGCCTCCGTTTCCTTACCTACAAAACAGAAATTACGGGACCAGTAGTTAGCGTGATGGCTATGTCGCTGGACTCCCATGTAGTCGACTGCAGTTCGAGTCTCGGACCCAGTGGTTTAAACTCACGCCGGGCGAGTGTGCATGCGTGCCCAAGGTCCCAAGAGGAGAATGGAGGAGAAGGGATTGCGGTGTGGCCATCCCCCCTGGGGAATGATTTCTCGCTTTCTGTCTCTCTCTCTGGCGAGTATAGCGAAAACCTCTCCAAAAAAAAAAAAACAGAAATTATCATTACTTCTATCTTACAACATCGTTGTAAGAATTAAGTAAGATAATGACAGAAAGCCCATAACGTAATGCCCCAAACATTGTGGATGTGCAATAAAGCGTAATATGATTATTCTTAATATTCTTAATGTACTTAGACCAGAGCGAGATAGTGGTTCATACTGTTTGGGCTAAGATCATGTAAAATGTCGTTAAAGCTATGGTTTTTCTCTCTGTGCCCTGAGGTGTATCACAAAGGTCTTAGAAGCATTTCAGGAGTTTTATGAAAGAAAAAGTTTAAATACCTAGGAAAGAAAATTATTCCTATTTTGTTTTATGTATTGAGATGCAACTTAAATTTTACTTAAAGAATACTCTACAGGGACCAGCAGATGGTGTAACGGTTACATTACCGGAGTTCCACGTAGCTGACCGAAGTGCAAGTCCTGGACCTGGTGGTTTAAGCTCACACCAGGTGTATGTGTGTACATGCCCAAAATCCTGAGAGAAGAATGAAGGAAAAGGGATTGCAGTGTGGCCATCCCCCCAGAGGGTGATTTCTCACTTTCTGTCTTTCTCTGGCCAGCGTACGCATCCTATAGCAAAAATATCTCTGTTAAAAAAATACTTAAAAAGTGTGAAAATCTTTTTTTTTAATTTTTTTTGAGAGATTTCTTTTTTCTTTTTTTTTTTTGTTATAGGGCACAGAATTTCTTAAACAGGAGTGAACAATGAAAGAACCGACATGTTCAGAAACCTCTAACATTGGAACCAGCAGTTGGCATACTGGCTATGATACTGGACTCCCATGTAGTCGACCACAGTTCGAGTCCCAGACCCAGTGACATAAAACTCATCCCAGGTGTATATGCATGTGTACCCAGTGGAGGAGAAGGGATTGTACCGTGACCATCCCCCTGGGGGACTTTCTGTCTCTCTGGTGAGCACACATGCCCTATATCAAAAATATCTCAAAAAAAAAAAAAATATATATATATATATCCATAGTCTTTCTGGCTTGAAGAACCAGAAACAGAGTTTGGGGCAAACACAGCTACTGAAAAGTAAGAGGGAATCTTAGGAAAGAGATACACAGAGAAGGACGCCCAGATTCTAAATGTAAGTCTGTCCAGGTCTTTTGTGACTCCTGAGTCATCCGTGTGGGGGTGCTGACTGCACACCAACCAAAGGATAAAAGGACTGGCCTGAAATTTGAACTCCTAAGAAACAGACTTCATAGTCTGAGTCCAAGCAAAGTAATTGCCTGCTAAAACAAGTTTATATACTCTTCAGAAAAATACAAAAGAATCTAGATATTCAGAAATGTCCAGGGTACAATTAAGAATTACCGAACAGACCCAGGCATCCAGACCCCACGTCAGCCCTACTCTTTCTTTCACTTTTGAAGCTCAAAGCTGGGCAGCTCATTGCATGCTCAACACGTGTCAGCAGGAGTACCGGGGCTGGAAGATAAAGCAGAAATCTCAATATTCATGGTCTTCATCGCCTTCCTGGGAACTGGAGGGGAGGAAAGTCCTCAAATCCTGGGATTGGGCAAGGTAAGATGGTCATTTAACATCTTGCCCAAGTAAGTGAAAGCTTGAAGCAGGGACCCTCAGAACAGATGAGGTAAGACGGTCATTTGACTCACTGCCCAAGTAAGTAAAAGCTTGAGGCAGTAAGATGGTCCCTGGCACCTATCTCAGGGAGTGACTGAGAATCAAGCTACTAGGCAGAATCTGAGGGCTCAGGCCTCCAGATCCTAAGAAAAGGCAAACTTCCTAAGGTTATGACTGGAGAGACAGCTCTACCTTCCTTCCCAGTAAGAAATGAAAGGTGGGCATAGTGAAGAAAGATTAAGACTACTCCTTCTCCCTACCCCAACACTGAGGAAACTACAGGCTGCGAACAGACCGTTAGCCCTGCCTACCCTCCTTCCCCACTACTACTCTTGTGGCTGTCTGATGTTTTGATTGTATGAATAAATACAATTCCTTTCTGGAAAAAAAAATTACTGAACAAAGAACCAGGGAAATGTGATCTACCCTAGAAAAAAAGAAACAAAGATCAATAGACAGCAATCCAGAGCTAATCCAAGGTGACTGTATTATCAGATAAGAATCTTCAAGCTATTATAACTAAACAGAGTAGAGGAACAGGTACTTGTAAAGAATTTTTTATTTTAATACAAACATCTCAGAAAAGTAATATAAACTAATTTTTTTAAACGGAAATTCTAAAACTGAAAAAAAATTCTAGCAATAGAGATCTTTTTTTTTTTTTGGTGGGGGGAGACGTTTTTGCTATAGGGCGCATGCGCTCGCCAGACAGACAGAGAGGCGAGAAGAGATTTTTTATTTTAATACAAACATCTCAGAAAAGTAATATAAACTAATTTTTTTAAACGGAAATTCTAAAACTGAAAAAAAATTCTAGCAATAGAGATCTTTTTTTTTTTTTGGTGGGGGGAGACGTTTTTGCTATAGGGCGCATGCGCTCGCCAGACAGACAGAGAGAGACAGAGAGACAGAAAGCAAGAAATCACCCCCCGGGGGGATGGCTACACCGCAATCTCTTCTCCTCCATTCTCCTCTCGGGATCTTGGGCACACACGCACATGCGCCTGGCTTGAGTTTAAGCCACCGGGTCCGGGACTCCAACCACGGTCGACTACGTGGGAGTCCAGCAACATAGCCATTATGCTAACTGTTGGTCCCGCGATAAATTGTTTAAAAAATCACTGGTTGAGCTAACAACGAAACTTGAAGAGAGATCAATAGACATCAACTAACCTAAAGAATAGCATAAAATATAAATTTTTAAAATGAGAGAGAAAAAGAGATTTGTAAACCTGTAGAGAAGATGGAACAGAAAAAAAAAAATAAAGACAGAATGGGCAAAAACCTTTTAAGATTTGATAAAAAGACATAAATGCATAGGTTTAGGAAGCTCAGCAAATCCCAAGCAAGAGAAATACATAGAAAACCACATCTGGGTTATCAGAGTTAACTCATTGTAAATCAAAAATAAAGAGAAACTTCTCAAAAGGAGCTAAAGAAAAGTAACCTTGCATATTAGGACAATAGCAATTGAAATGATAACTGACTTCTCATCAAAACCTCCAGAGTCAGTACAACATTTTCTAAATGCTAGAGAAGACTGAAAGGACTAGATCAAAACAGTCAGACCAGAATTTTATATCCAGTGAAAATAGCCTTCAAGAATGCGAGGAAAATAAAGACATTCTTAGATGAAAGAAAGCTAAGTGAATCCATGAAGAGACATGAACATTCAGAGATGCTAAAGAGAGTTTTTCAAGCTAAAAGGTAAATGATACCAGTTGGAAACTTGAAACTCTATAAAGAAATAAGGAAAATAAAAAATGGTATTTATTACCATTAATTTAATGTAAATTTTTTTCTCCTGATTTAAAACACATAGAACTGTTTAAAGCAAAATTATGACACTATCTTGTGGCATTGTTTCTCCACTGCTAAATTCCTCCCTACTCACAATCACCATGTCAGGAATCCCAGCAATGCACATTAGACTGAATTTGTCTGTTATGCCAAAGAGATTTCTGTAAAGTAGTCAGACCCCAGAGAGGGACAGACACCATGAGTCACTCTTCAAGAGGCCAACTCTGTCTCTAAATCTGTAGGAAAAAGTTGTAAGGAAATCAAGAGATTCTTAGCAGCTGATCAGAAGAAGAAAGAAGAAAGAATTTGTCTTTTAAACACCTTCCTCTTGGGCAAACTACTTGTTCCTCTGTTTTGGAGGATGAATGTAGAAACACAGTCTCCTAAATCTTGAATACTATGCAAACCAAAAGAGGGAATATGAAATATACTTTGCCCTCCAGCTGGTTGAGTTACATGTATTGGTTGTTGGGAAAATCATGACACATTTTTGCATAGGAAAATACGTCATGACTTTCCCAACAAACTAATACATGTGCGCTGCCCTTAAACAGACTAATATTCCTTTCAGATCACAACCAGGCTTGACCTTGTATTTACTGAGTGCCACTAAGTTCATGACTACAATAGGCCCTATGCAGGACACACACAGTATTAAGGTATGGTCTTCATGTGACTATAAAGTGAGACCGCTCAATTCAATAGTCTAATCCCTAGTTTCTCCATTGGTATTCTTCACACAATACCAATTGACCCTTTTCTAACACTCTATTGCATCTCGCAGTGAGTTACACTCAGCACAATGCTTGGTACAGAGTTAATGCTTAATAAATACAAAATGCTTTTTAAAATTTCATATGGCCATGAGTATGTTGCACATATAAATGCATATATCAAGAGAAGGCTTTCTTGTCCACCCAATCTAAAATGGCAACTTGGCCCCACTCCTTCTTTCTACCCCTTTACCTTACTCTTATTTTTCTTCATCTTACTGAATGACTGTAGACATTCTGCTATTGTCTTTCTCCTCCTACTTCAGTGGCATGACAGCAGTAACATACCAAAAGGGATGGATGGGAACAGCCCACCCCAGGAGCAGGCAATA